ACTGATTAATAAGGGAACCGTCATCTTAACAGGATACTGTGTGCAGGCGCAGTCTGCCACCCGGCACGCTTGCGTTTCTTTCGCCGAGCCGAGAATCCAGTTCGGGAGAACAATGTGAGTTGGATTGTACAGAATAATAATAAATATCCTTCAGGTTTAGTAATAATTCCCTGGGATACGAACGTCTAGAGAACACGGCAGAAACCGGGCGATAAATTCTAATGCGACAATGAACACAAACGTAGCGCATCCAATCGAAGGGCGCGTGCGACACCTAGCCTCCCTGATACTGGCGATCCCTCTCTTTGCTCAGCGAACGGAAGCATATGAACTGCTTTTCAAACCAGGATTAGAAAACTTGCCGTTCAATGTACAGTCAGAGTTTTTGACGACCTCAGAGCAAAGGATACGCCCTTTTTCAAGCTAAATATGATTAGATTATTCGATGTTTCATAATAATCTTGAACAATAATTTCTAGATGAATGACTGGATGCCTAACAGGAATAAACAAACATCGAGCACTGATATTGAACCGACCCTTCAAATATGTTACTATTATATATACAGGTTAGTAGTTGAATTTTCAAAGCAATTGTTCTGTTTTGATTCACGATTGTTGAGTATGCCGGCTCTAAGCGGTTCATGTAACAAAACCTCAAGGATTGTTTCCAACTTTCATCTGGAGTAGAAAAATTGAACATGCCTCTTAAAAGCTGTTTTCATTGAACTGCAGTCTGAATTGAGAATATTATTGAAATCGTACATTGCACTGATTGTGGTTCCTAATTCTCCCAGGTCTACCTGCTCCACCGACGAAGTTGATGCCCTCTTCCACGGTATTCGATGCAAAAGGCCGTCCTCAATTGGATGTTATTCGCCCGCATCTAATTGCTGAGGGTCGCCTTACTGAAGAGGCAATCCTTCGTATAATTAGCGAAACATCCGCTATTTTACGATCAGAAAAAACCATGTTGGATCTAGATGCTCCAATCACGGGTAAGTCACGTTTGCGCATTATATTTACGCAAATTGTTATGGGACTGCATCATTAATTCAACCGTAAAATATCTCTTTCGAAAACATTAAACGTCGGATTTGTGTCCTTTGACAAGCTACGCTTTTGTTTCGGTTTTCAGTTTGTGCAACCATTAACCATGCACTATCGTGAACCGGTTTTGGTTTCTGTCTTTCGGCTGCACATTTGAATGAAGCAGTAGGAGAAGGACAGGAAAGTTGAAAGTAGAGTCGAAGAGAAAATGGATAATTTCACTGGACTAATGTTGCAAAACATTGAGAAGACAAACGAACGCCAGTGTTTACAACACAGCCATATCACTAAGTGTCTCTAGCCACCGGCTACCATCCTCCCGAGGTCCACAGCCAGGGAGCCTAACGAGACCAATATGACCGAGTCTCCTCATTAAGATTTGCATCCCCTCCTGCCAGGTCTTAGTTTGACCATCTTTGGCTTTTTCCACCCACTACCTGCCTCAGCCAACATTGCTCGCCGTGGCAACCTGGTTAGAGAACAATGGTCATCGAAAATTTCCAGAATCGACCTTGGTCCCCCTTTGCCCCCATTTTTTCTCCGTTCGCTCCGATTGAATTTGACAGACATTGTTGTATTTTCACACTTGACCTTAATGGAGCAATCACATTTATTTTTACATAAATAAACACACACATCTGAAGACGAAGTTACGAGAAAAAGCTTGTTTCCTGTATTGTTTGTCGTTTGACCACACTTCTGCCATTCTCCAAATGGCGTAACAGACATTTCATTTCGTAGACCTACATTTTCTATTTTCGTTGATCTAAAAGCAACATTGAAAACCAGTCAACTGCGATGCACTCTTGTTCTGCGTGTATTTGAAGGGTGTACCATTAGGGTGCACTATTAGCCGAAGCCGAGTTAGAGCCTAATTTTCTTTGATCCTCGAGTTCACCACAGAAAGTAGTGTGTATCAGGGTTACCTTCTCCTTTCCGTTCATCCGTGCAAAGGATCTGGTTTCAGAAGCAGTCGCGTCTTCTTGTGGCATCGATATGCTCTCAGATGGCAGACTGTGATCTGGAGCATATTTGTACATTACACTGTCAAGGGAAGCTCTTTTGTATGGTTTTACTTATGTAGCTGTGTTCGGCATGCCTTTGATACATTCAACGTGCCAACTGTTGCCACAGGAGTTGGTTGATTCAACTGCTAGCCTCGCTTAATTGGGGAATTAGTAGGGAAAGTAGAAATATTTTGCCATTATATATATGTATGTATATGTATATATCATAGTATTCAAGATATATTTCGCAATATATACTTCTAAAGTCGATTTACATTTACCACACGGTGGTTTCGATTTCTATCTTTTTCAGTTTGCGGCGATATACATGGCCAGTTTTTCGATCTTATGAAATTGTTCGAAGTAGGTGGTCCTCCGGAATCCACACGATATCTGTTCCTCGGTGATTACGTTGATCGTGGTTATTTTAGTTTGGAAGTGAGTTTCACCACAGGCGTCTAATTTCCATGCAATCCTGTGCATTCATAGGTTTTCATTTGGTTCCAATTGATCGATGAGTTTGAACACTGCCGCATTTCGCCTGGTGCTATTTTCCGTTAGCGTTCATCCATTTCTTAGGTATTTGATGTCTGAGTGCCACAGGGCTGGATTAGTTAGATGTATATATCCTTGCATGTGAACTATTTTTTCACTCAGAACAATTTCAGATGAACAATTGTTTTTAATAAGTCATAATCATGCCAATACAGTTTATATGAGGGAACAATCCTAGGGGTTGGGAGAAGAACAACAAAATGGGAGGAATCGTTCACTTCGTGTATGTGTGTCTGTATTTGTGTTGCACACCGCGTTCTCAGATCTGTGCTTCCAGGGCTTGCAGTTGTGTCACGACAGTCATGTGACCCAGTTCTGAGGGGTCAGTTTTGTTATGTGAAAATTTTTGTGTATGCGGACAAGGTGGGGGTGGGGGGCATGGGGGCGGAGTGGATTCGCGAACCCAGGGTAGACGTTTCTGGGCCCATAGTTCGTGGGTCCTATGCTTAATACAGAAGACCTCGGCTATGGCCAACGTACGCATTCTAACGTATTTGGACCGGTTTGGGGGGGGGGGGGNATGCGGAATGCTTCATTTGGGTCAACACGATGGCCAGTGTCTACCAAGTGAGCGCGAATCGCACTCATGATATATCCGGAACCACCTCGACTCAGTCAGCGAGGATGGTGTTCTTTCATGCGGATATATAACTACCGTGCCGTTCGACCGACGTAGAGTGCGTCACAAACGCATCTGAACGAGTAAACAATCATTGAAGCGGTCAACATCGGTATGGTTAGCAGTGGCGACCTTTTGAAAGAGCAGCGTAGGGGCGCGGCGTTGAATATGGCTTTTACCGCTCCATTCAATCGTTTGGTGAGGGTTTCAGCAGCAACTTCACCCTTAAAAGAGAAACTAATGGACTGCTCCTTCTTTTCCACCCCATCAGTGTGTACCTGTTCCATCATATTTCGTTGAATGAAGCGGTCGGGATAACCATTGATTCTGAGCACGTTGGAGGTAAATTTGAGTTCATCTTCCAATACTTCTTGTGAGCAGATTCGCCGAGCTCTAGATATGAAACATTCAATCAGGTTCCTCTTTAGCTTGATCGGGACGTAGCTGTAAAAG